ATGTAATTTTGAAAAAGATTGCTCCAAAGAGCCGTTTGGTACGGATTTTATTGGTCGCTTAGCTGGCTAAAAAAGAGAATAATCAAAAGATTTTTCAAAGGAATCTTCAAATCTTTTAGCTACCTTGACTGAAAGTAATGGCTAGGATATGAGTCAGTTTAAAGCTTTGAGTAAATCATATTTCGGCCGCTTAATGTGTCCTTTAAGGCGTCTATTTTCACTCCCACTGTGATATTTCACTTTACATATATAAATATAGGTATGTACTCGTACCTATCGTTATTATAGTCATTTGTATATAATAATTTTTTATGCGACTTCTTTGTTAGCTACTTTCGCTTTATTTGATTGCAGCTTAATTTTCTTGTTCATTGTGTTATGCCATGTTGTGTAAAGAGATTCAACAAAGTTTACTCCTTTGCTTGCAAATGTCGTGGTAAGTAAGCAGTTAAATAAGTTTGACTATTAAGACCACTGGCAAAAGCTAGTAATGACACGCGTCATCAATATTTGCAGTGTAGATTGAAAAAGGCAAATGTTTATTTGACAGACTTACAGACGGACAGGGAGGTAAGTTAAGGAGGAGTACTACCGCTGGAATGTATGTCACTCATACGCCCCGGTTGACAGCATTTTTGTCGCTCACTTTGACCTGGAATTGGAAAAATTGTACAAGCGGCAAGTGCTTGTTCAGCAATCACATGCTTAAAAAATCAACACACTTGTTCTTACATATACTCGTACACAATAGATGTATAAGCCAATCTATTAAAATGGAATAAAATATGACGAGTAGAATAGTTATGTAGTTTGATTGGAAATTGCACTATTATTTGCAAATACGTGTATGTATTTCAAGTGGCTTCAAGAAAGTTATGAGTTTGTATGGTAAAGTGGCAAGTGGCAAGTGGCAACAAGCGAGAGAAGGGTGTGTGGGAAGTGAAAAATTTGCTATGTTTGCTATGAAGCTGCACAAGTGGCTGGCAACAAGCAAGCGGCAACTATTCTGAAGAGTTGGAACCCTTATATATTTATTATTTATATTATATAAACATACGCATACATATACGTATAGTCGAATATATATATATACATGTTCTTTTATTTACTCCTTTCAACCTCTCAATTCATTTTATTGCTCAATGTCGAGCACGCGAGGCCTGCATTTCAGCCACTCTGTGGTGCTGAAATATGAAAATCAAATCAAATGTCATTGTATGACCTTCAAATTAATGACATTTTTATACTTCGAAGCAAATAGCTCTCGACTACTACTTATTTTTGCTTTGATTTACAATAAAGTGAGAGTGATGAGAGAATGCGGTATTTGATAATAAAAAATAACCAAGCAATAAACGAATCAATAGGAATTATAAATAAGCTTAATTAGGCTGCATTGAAAATGCTATCGCTGTATATTAATTAGGTAAAATTAAAATGTTTGCCGAAAAAAGTGAGATAATAAATATTTTATATTATTTTAGCTAATAACATTTCACACCGCGTGCACTATTAAAGCCGCAGAGAAATAGAAACTCAAATAATGTTTAACTTAAAATATATGATATTCGTATGTACGTCACTCATTTTTTTTTGAAACTTCTATCAACTTTAAAAACTGTGCGCAAATTCAAATTCCTTGTTTTACTTAAGCTAATTTTTTTTTTAAATAAACAATTAGTGCTTATATAATTTGTCGCTTAGTCAAGTCTCAAAGAAATCAACAACAACAAATGTATTTGTTACTATTTTATATTAAGGTTATTATTTGTCAGTGATTACTCATTAAATGTTAAATGCACAAAGCTCCGTTAAATTATGGTTCGTTTTATATGCCGAAAAATACACTCACACACGTACCCGCACGAAATATAAAAGTTTAATTGTTTAGTGATATTCGGCCGAGCTGCTCCATCAATTTCCGGTAGGCGTCTTGATGTTTCTCCAACAAATGAAGGTATTGTATTTACACTTTAATCATGTTAGAAATACATTCGTAAGGCTTGAGATGTCCTGCCGAGGGGCAATCGCAATTAAAAGAAAAAATTTTCTTCAATTTTTGAATGTTGGTACGGCCATAATTCCAACACTGGCCTACCGAATGACAGTACGCACTGATTTTCCCTCGACTATTGCAGCTGCGTATTTAAAATAGTATAGTCCATAGTTAATGTCATTAAATTAAATTCAATACTTTCGCCACATAACACCCGGGCGTATACGTAATTTGTATGTTATATTAAATATGCCTACTGATTGGGCTGTTATTGTATATGTAATAAATTCGCCGTCATAAAAATATTATATTTTGATGACCTGTTGAACAATTATCATTCATTCATATGCCAGCACACTTAATTAAGTATTAATTTAAAAAAAAAATAAAATAATAATACTAAAATATTAGCACCAGAAAGGAAGGGGAAAAGTGGGTCGAAATAATTACAATACACTAGTTTTGAAAAGAAATTGTGGAGAAGAAAAAATTTGTGGAAAAAATATACAAAACACATATGTACATAGTATGTATTTTAAGTAATTTACTAACAAAGACTTAGACACGAAAAAAGATTTTGAAAAATAAAAAGTGTGTTTTATTTATCTATTCTCATCAATTGAACAAATCTAAATGTAATTAATAAGAGCCGAAACGATTTTCGGCAGAGCTCCTCAACGAAGAGCTGATGAACTTTTGTGCGGAGCGGCTACAGTTAAAAAACATTAATTTTAGTTAACTGAACTCTTGAACGAGGCCTACGGGAGACTTCAAACTAAACTTTCAACTAAACTAGACGCGTTAAGACCTTTTTGAGAGAATTTTCGACGAAATAATAACCCACAAATTGGTGCATTTTATTTATTAATTTAGTAATAATAAAATTTTATATTTCTCTTATTTTTTATTGCTCTTTTTTTTGTTCTTTCCTAATTTTAAGCTGCCCAGCTTTGCTCTCCATCACTCAACACCTTTCGCCAATTGAAAAATTCTTGTGTACACATATACACCTACGCGTGGTACTTTACGCCGTTGCGCTGCGGTGTAATCTGCACTGCCAGAATAATCTGGTGTAGGAATGTAAGCAACTGTGTAAATCAAACATTTTCCACATCCGGTGAATTTTGATTATATATTTTCACCAGAAAAATCCAATATACAACTGCAGTACTGCAGCAGAAATAGAGAAGGATACATACATACACGCATGTGAATACACTGAAGTGCGTGCATTTGCAGCAGCTGCTGGTAGGCGGAATCCCTTTAGTAAGTGTTCATGCAGGCTGGTAAAATGTTTTCTGCAGGCCACTTCGTTGTTGCCGTTATTTTGATCATCAATGCAAAATCCACTCAATTATGAAGAAATGTATAGGTAATTCAACACACACACACACACAAACAGCTCTGAATTCGGTAAAAGGTCACGCACTTGATAACCACTTTACACATATGCACTTTTTTATTTACACAAAAAACACATTCACAGTACATTCATACAAGGCACACCACACTCGGATGCTTTTAAAAAATTTTAACATTTTTTCAATTAATGCGCAAAATCCGTTTAAGCACTTTGATGGAACCTTTCACCTTTGACTCACTTTCAGTTATTTGGTTGTTGATTGTTCGTGCCTTAACGAGCAACTGCACCGCAGCAGCAGCTGTGGCCGCTTTAAAAGCACTGGCTCATGCGCCGCGTTGCATAAACCCCGATGTGGCGATGGCGGTGTTGTTGCTGGCCGAAATTAAAAATGTTGATTTAATATTAATTTATTTAGCATGAGATATTCTTTTTCCGCTTGCAAAATTGCAAGAATAAATAGATGAAAAAATCAAAAATCAAAAGAAAAAAATCACGTCTCCTCTGCAAAAATATTGGGCAAATCGCAAGCCAAACACTCAAAAATAACTAAATACTTGTGTAAGTATATGTAACCGTATGCATGTGTGCATGTAAATATAACTGCATCATTGTCGGCATGTTAGCTAACATATTTGTTATTGTTGTTGTTGTTGTAGTGCCGTCTGTTGTCTGCCAGCCAAAGTCTCGCTGTGAAGTTTTTTTATTAAATTTTTCTCACTTTTTTCGCTTTTCTTGAGCTTTCCACTTTTTGTTGTTGCTTTTTTTTATCCACTTTAGCACCATTGTTAAGTTGCCGCCAAAAACATCAACTTTCCACTTTGCGACATTTTTTGTTGCCCTTTGCCGCTGTTTATTTCTCTGCTCAGCGCCTTGCATTCACCGCCACGTGACGTGGTGCTTGGTCTTCTTTTCTTAGCGGCTCCTGTGGTGCAGAAAATGTATTTATTGGCGTAAAATGAAAATGTCACACTGCAGTGTCATATAGAAATCTATGCATATATATGTATATGTATAACTTCGGGTTGTTCATTTGTTCGTGGAAATGTAGCCTCCACCGCCGGGACTTTGGTTCTGACGGTAGTGGTCTCATCGGCATCCGGTCTCTTTGTTTGTACATATGTTTGTGTGTGCATGCAGGAAATGGGCAGTGCCAATGGTTGCCGAAATTATTTTGTTTTCCTTGCCGCTCTTCGACGAAATCACACGCGTGGTCTACGTCGGCTCACCACAGCAATGCGGCAGCCGCAGCCACAGCCGCAGCAGACGCGTTGCTGATGTCGCTCGAGTTTTGCATGCGCCGTCCAAAATATGATGACAACAAACTTTTGGCAATGAACTGGTAGCACTTGGCACTTTTTATTGCTGTTTTCGGGAGTGTTTTTTTTTTTGTTTGTTTTATAATTTTTCTTTTATTAGAAACAATTTTCGTTGGGCACTTTAACGGCACTTAAAAATTTATTTTATTCCCTGTTGCCTGCGATTTGGAATTGATTTACGCAAAAAAAAGTATCGAATATATTAATTAACATGTAATAAATGTAAAACTAAAAAAATTACTCCTTTCAATTTTGCGGTGGAAATATTGTGGATACTTTTTGAGAATCTTTTTAAAAATTTTGTATTTGTGCTAAAAATATTTACCTGCTCGTTTGAACACTTTTTGACAGAAAGTTTTTAATGTTGTTGTTTGATTTTGTTTTTGCGTATTTTATAATAATTCTTGAATGTGATTTAATTTTCCACACTTTTAACTACTTTTTTCAAGTTTTTCTCACCAACTTTAATTCATTCAAAATACCGTTGTATTTAAAAGAAGCAGCAATATAAATAATTTATCACTGAATTTCTATTTTAAAAATATTCAACTTTCCCAACTTGGCACCGCGCGTACTCATTCGCTCATCGTCACTTATTTTTATTTTTTCTTTAAATTGCAACAAAAGCTATTCGTCACACTTTATTCCTTTTGCTGTCCGTCCGTCCGTTTTTTTACGACCAGCACTTACTTAAATGCCGCGTACGCGAAATTTAATGAGACCCGTTCAAGCACTCAACGAAAAATGAATGAATGGCCGAACTGCCCCGAAGTGGTCGCTTCGAGTCTTTTCTTCGCACATCCGTTACGCCAGAACTTCTACAACGAACTGCTTGTTGGCTGGCAGACGTTTCTGTAAATCGCTACCATTTGTGCATTTGTGCCAAGCTTTTTAACTGTTTCATTTCATCTTGATCTCGGCTGCAACATGTTCGATGTTGCATGCATTGAGGGATTTGCGCCACGTGCGTTGTCACACCGCCTACTTTCCCACACCCACTGCAAACTACCGCAGTCTGCCGCAGCTCCTCGACGACGGAAGTGTGTAATTTGTTATTGTTTATACTTTTGCGTACGCGAACAGTTCGACGCGTTCATCGCCTGCCTACCGTGCGGTTCGAGCGAACATTGCACCCACGTCGCACACCACCCCAAGCAGCGCACAGAGGGCGAAGTGTGTATGCGCGCATATTTTTTTTTAATCTTTTTTGTTGTTTTGTTGGCTGCTGAAGCTTTTCATTCATGAAAAATTCTAGCGACAAGCCGACGAGGTGGTTGGGCAGCGACAGTAATAGCAGTAGTCGGTCGTGTGGGCGATTTCGGCTGGCATGAATGACTCGATGGAATTTTGTGTGTATGCGGCTGTTGTTGAACTCGCTTGCTTTGATATTTTTTATTGGGAATTTCTCATTTTGAATATTTTATTATTTTTTATTTACGTTGTTGCAGTTGGTTTATCGGTTTTTAATTGATTATCAAGAAGTTTATTTTTATAATAATAGAAATAGAATGGGCGAAATATATTTTTAATAGATATGTATTTCAGCAGAAAGCAGATGAGAGTAGAAAGCGATTCTTTCCAAATATTCTAAATACTTCTAACGCTTCTAATACGTGCTTAAGCTACCCCAGGCATTTTAAATAAATTTTTTATTTTTTTTTAAACTCACTTTATATATTTTTCTCTTATTTTATTTATTTATTTATATTTTGATTTAATAAACTTATAATATATTTATATTATAGTTTTTCATTTAATTTTTTAACTTATTTACTTGGTTTTTTACATTGTTATTTTCATTTATTTTATTTTATTTTATTTTCTTTTATTTTATTTTATTTTATTTTATTTTATTTTATTTTATTTTATTTTATTTTATTTTATTTTATTTTATTTTATTTTATTTTATTTTATTTTATTTTTTCACTGTTGAATATAAACTTCACATACGCGTAACGTGTTTGTATTGAGGCACATACCGGTATATAGTATTTAGATGATTTTTCTGTATCTAAAAAAATGTATTTGCGACAATATTTTCAAGGTAACATTATAGCAAAAAATCCTCGCTTTTAACAACAACAAACTAAAGCATCGTTAAACCATAAAACCACAACAATAAACAGTGAAAATCGGAACGCCAACAGCCGCAAATGATCATAAATTAAATTGACATAAACATTTGTATACAAATACAAAAACTAAAGACAAATGTATACTAGCATATACATATGTATATGTACGTGTATGTACATTTATATATATGTATATGCACATTAGCACTTATGTTTGAAAATAATATTTGTGGTGCGCATGTAAAAACAAATAGACACACTCAGCCCTTTCAGCATGAAACGAAAGAAAATTGCCGATCATTCGCGAAATGGCGTGAGCGGAAAATTCAAATCAGGGTTCAGAAATTGCATTTTTATTATTTATAAGGAATGCCTTTTTTAATATTATATTAGAATTCAATTATTGTTTTTCGTTACACCCGGAGGGGTTGGCGTTCCCTATTATTGAGGGGGGACCGCAATTAGAAAAAATTACCTATATATTATATATTAATTAAGTTTCCATAAAAACTTGTGTGCTGGTAGGCCATATGCAATCCATTATTTTTGCATTGAATTGAAGGCTTTACTGATATCTTTTTGGCATTTTTAAGGTTTTTTTTTTTATTTGAGTTTTTACAGGTTTCACAGACACTTTTTATCATCAGTCTACATCTCCTTTAGAAATAAGTCGATTTTGTTTGGATTCAGCAGCGATTCGCAGATGGATATTGGTTCATGAAGTTTTTCTCCTTAACTCATATGGTACCGATATTTCAAGATTTCTTGTATATTCAGCCTTTTCCAAGTTGTTTCCAAGTGCAGAAATAATGGAAAACCTGTTATTTGAACAATTGGAAATAACTAGGTGGAAAAATCATATAAAAAAAACTATTCAAGTATGCATATCTTTTCAAGAAATATACCAAAAAGAATACCATAAATATTTTATATTTAAAATCAATTTCTCACACTTTTATTAACAAAGCCAAGATTTTGCTTTAAGTATGTATTATATATGTATGTACATTCGATTTAGCATTCTTACAGTGAATCAATAGTCAAAAAATAATGTAAAGCGTCGTGCAATTAATATCATTTACCGTAAACAATATCACTTTGAGTTTACACCATTATTGACCTTTACGCTTTTGGGTCAATCACCGTTAACGAAGAAAGGAAAAATGTCCCTCTCGAAGGCTTCCAGCTTATTTATTGAACTTTCACCTTCTGCACAACTTACGAGCTTTGAACCCGTTTGGTGTGTATGACAGCAGGAGGCAAAATGATACGTTGCGTGTGTCAAATAAAAGGATCGCCGATGATTAGAAATTATGAAGTTTTGGTTTGATATCAGGAAATGATTTCGTTGTCGAAATTTGAATGTATATAAGGAGTATAAGCTTAGTCGAGGAACTGTGTGCTATGCAAATATGTCCCAGCATAATTTGTTAGAGAATGAGAGCAGCCCCGTTGCATGATTGTCACAGACTCAAGTCAAACAACTAACTTAAGGTGGGAGAGCTGCGGGGAAATAAATAAACATACTCGTAGGTTTGGATATTTGAATATTTTTCCTGTAGTAGCAAATTTTTTATTGCATGTTTTTCATTGTTGTATCATTGTATGGATAGGAAATCCCTGCTTTACTTGCACCCTAGCGCGCATTTCCTAGACTAAGAGAATACGCTTTAATAGACATTGGGATAAGAAATCCTTAATATGTTATTCTATTTAAAGATTTCAAATATTTATTTTTTTTGTATTTCATTTTATTTTATTTATTTTTATTTTTTCTAATTTTTTATTTATTATCTGCAAATAAATTCATTTTATTTTATTTTTAAACATTTTTATTCCTTTTTTTTACTAATTTTTAACAACTCCAGCGCTCATGTCGCTCATCTTGTTGCTTCCATCATTTTGCTAATTTTTGTTAGTACACTCGGCTGTCTGACTGTCTGCCAGTGTGTCTGCTTGTGAGTTTCCAATGCTTTTTCCCTTCTAAGCTTGTTTATCAGCGGTCATCCGCTCACAGTTCGAATTTTTTTTAAACATAATTTTCTTTTCTTTTCCTCAAATCCGTGCTGTTTTTGTTGTTCTTATTTAGTTTCTGTATTTAGTATTGAGTGATTGTTTATTTATTTGTTTATTTTTTTCTGTTGTCTGGATTTGCGGTCATTTGCATGCCTATCGCCGACCACAAGCTGCGTTGATCTTAATGAGATAATCCCATCGATTTTCGTTTACAGCCTTTTTCGGTTCAATTGAAATTAATCATTCATTTTCTATGGAATTCGCAATGGACTTAATTAGTGTCATTTTCTATGGAATGTGCATGATGTGTATGTGCATACATGCTTACATACATATGTACATACGAGTACATACATATTATATGGAATTTATTTGTGGTTTATGTTGTTGTAGTTGGTTTTGTCAGCAAATTAATGACATTTTCAAAGCAAAAGAATTATAGGAAAAAGTAATTGAAAAATTGAAATTTTGAAAATCAAACCCGAATGAAAGATAGGAATCTTTGTTTGAAAATTCCCAAGTATGTGTAATAAACATTTTTGTGTATGTGTATTAAATATTCGAGCGAAGAAGCAAACTGGGCACCGTTGAGGTCAAAGTGGATAAAGTTTAACATATAAAGCATCGGTGTCAAGCAGAACAGCGTAGGTTGGTAGAGAACATCTACCAGGAAGCAAATTTAAAAAAAAAAAAGCAAAGCAATAATTATACCTTAATCTTGAAACTTTCTCACAAATACCCCAAGCAGTATCGAAATCCCTCTACCTCTGAATGATTACGGAAGCTCAAGGCGTCGAAGATTTCCATCGCAGCTCATCGTCATGGCTCATTTCGTAATTAACTTAATTAACCAAACCGCAAATGAGCTTGCTTATCATCGACACACTTCAATGAGAAGACATTTCAAAATATTTTTCCTTACTCGCGGCTTAAGAATATTTCAATTTCCTTACAAAAAATGAAGTAATTTTTTATATTTTTTTTTTTTTTTTTTTTTTTTTTTGTTTGATAACAGCGGGTACCTTAAGCTCGCTTTTAAATTAAATTGTGTACTTTGCCACAGCGCTGATACGGAGATTCATTTGGAATGCGGGCACAGGCAGGCATCCATGGTATTCTTGATTAGATAAGAATTCACACAAAAATATAAATAAATTTTAATTAATACTTAGACACATAAGCGGCGCCTAACATAATATTGCCTTAGAGTAGATAAACAAAGTCGTGGAAAATATTTAGTAAGCGAGTAGCTGGCGCACAGTGGAAAAGGGCAGTGATATTTAGATAATATTATTATGTTTTTATATATCGCATTGAAGTTGAATGTAAAAATGATATAACTAATACAATTTTTAATTTTAATTTAAATTTTTTCAATGTTTAATTCAGAACTAACAAAAACTAGAAAACAAAAGAAAAAATTAAACATTTAATTTGGACAAAAAACTGGTTGGTTGCTTGCCTCTCCCGTCATACTATCATACAGTCCTACATAGAACTGCTGGCTATTTGTAATGCCAGATAGAGGTTCAGTTTAGTTCGAGCCGATGTAGTCATCGTATGGGGCGACAATGCTTTTCGCGAAGTTTAAGAGCTCCGAGATACATCAAACCTGACAGAAGATCAAATGTGAAAAAATCTGCTGGTTTTCCTTCGATGATTTTGTATTTGATTTTGGCGATTCCCATCTCGCCTTGATCCGTCTGTCAGCCCTTTCAGAAATTGAGGGACTTGCCCATTACCTCTACAGGTTCGGTAGCTGGACGGATGGAAACCCGAATAGGCACAACCGCTTTCTTGTAACCGCCAAATCTGCTGTCTCCCTGCTTCCAAGGAAACTCTCTGATGCAACACGATATGAGGTTTATGTTTTACTTGTGCTTTCAATCTCCGAATCCCTGATCCATTTTTGATCCACCTGTTGAGTGGTCGCAAGCTTCTGCGCCACACATCCTGTTTTAATGAGATTTGAAACCTTGGTAAATGTCCAAATTATGAGTAAAGTAATTTCATACATACATACATATGTAAACATTTTTGTTTGTGTAGTACTTATAAATATTTAACTGCGTAACCTTCTCTGCTCGAATTGACAATTTCTGATGCCAACATACATACATACGAACACACAGCGGAAACTAATTACCACTTCGTTGGATATTTTTCCGAACGTCCATTCGTCGGCAACACCCTGTGATCACAACACGATCAAATAAACAAATAATTTTGTAAACAGATCGATAATGAAAAAATCTTTTAACTTTTAATGCGTCCAAAATGCGATTTGTTTTTGTTTTAGTTTTTGATTTGCGTGCAGCAGGTGGGTGTTTCCAGTTTGTTTACGCAAATTTACAGGTGGATATGGTGGATATGGTCGGCAGTGGGAGGCCTTCGTGACTAGTGTGGGCATGAATGTTGGGACACTCTGCGCACATGCGTTTCGCGGAAAAGTCAACTGCTTGAAGATGTGAAATGCAAAATAGAGATATTAGCGGATGGCCATAAACAAATATACAAAGGCATAATACATATGTATGTATGTAAGGCTTTCTCGTTCAACCTAACCTAACATACAAACGTACATACACACAGATCAGAAATAGGTTGCCAGGCGGGAGCATCAGACAATAGCGAAACCACTGTGGTACCAGGATGTTGACCAGATCAACTGGTCGACTGCCGTACTAAATGAATTCCATTACTTTATCGACATCTTTAACAATTGACCTTTCCCACCATAGGGCATCTTTAACATCAAAATTACCGAAACGAAATCGACGAAACCAAAATTGTAGAATATAACGTATTTTCATACATAAGTTTCCTGTTCAGTCCCGTACTCACAACTACGCTGAAAAGTTTGGTTTTAGTTGCCAAGCTTTAAATTAACGCTACCGGCTTATTCAGACCTGCATCCATTAGAACAGTTAGTTCACTCCCAATTCCTCTGAAGGTAATTCCTGGCATGAAATAAAAGTTTCTCATAAAAATGCAAGCTTCTCTATTTGTTGAAAAACACCTAGATTCCTACATAAAAGCACATATATAAGCTCCCACTTTGTCCGCCCTTTTGTCCTTTTCGGGCTGAGTGTAGCCTTAGTTGCGTAGGGAATGAAGACTAACGACACTTGTACCCATATCACACCTTCAAATGATCTAGAGCCAACAAGAGCATAGTTTTAAGCTATTTTGCATTTCCGGGAGGACTAATTCCATTTTGTTCCATGAGCTCTATACTGTTTAAAACCTGATCAAAAACTGTCCAAATCGATCAAAATAAGTCCAGTGCTAACAGTGCTGTAGAAAGGAATTTATTATTCTTTAATTTACATATTAGTTGCCAAAATTTTCCGTTTTATTAATTTATATGACCTGCTGCAGAGTCATTACATATCCGTACATATGTATAGAAAATATGTAGGTACGTATGTTGAAGTATTACAACACACTAGCACGCTCCATTGCATCCACACAAAATATATATATATGTATGTGAATGTGCACAAATATATATACATGTATATATGTATAAACATAAAACTGCAGAAATTTATACAAAAACATACATATGTATGTAAGTACACACATCTGGCACCAGACCAGACTGAAGGCTTACAACCGTTTGTGCTGACGATCATCATGCCGCGACGTTTATGATTCACTAGCAGTGCTGACGTTGTGTCTATTAATTACCGAAAATATAAATGTTCCTTACAAGTCGCTGCTGTGAATTTAATTAGTTATGCACACCACATTTATATTCCGGTTTGGTCTGACGTCAAAATGCATGAACAGCATAATGCACAAATCCATTTCGTTTTATTGCTCGTGTTTTCCTTAATATAATTTAAACTAATTAACTTAATTATTGAATTATAAAATAGGGGAAATTTATAACTTTGGGGCTGATTGGGAGCTTGTAAATTAGTCGACGTCGAGACGTTGACGTTGATTGGCTTTGGCAGCGAATTTTCGTTTTTTAAATGAGGTAGGCACATCGATTGCAAATGTTGGATCTAATGATTCGATGGTTTTTTCTTTGAAACGTTTTACTGGTGGCTCGGCTGGGGCTTCCGACACTACTGGCGGCATATAATAGTTATTGATTTTGGGTAGCTCCAAGTCGACTGGTGGCGGAGTAGGTCTGTGAGAGAAAATGTATACAAGTTTTGAATTTCAACCAAATGTTATCCGAATATTGTAACCAAAGAACGATTACTTAACAGTTTAATATTTGTTAATTTAAGCCAAGTGTATAACGAATGTACTTACTTCCGTTCCACAACCTGCCATTCACCGATTGTCTGAGCAGATGCCTCCTCCTCAGTTTTATATGCTTGCTTCTCCTCACGTTTTCTTTGTGCTTCTTGTGGTGTGTCTGGCTTGCGAAACAATTTCAAACGTTCTCGATTGTAGCGTGCCACTTCTTCATTGACATTCTCACGGAACTTTTTCGCCTCAGACTCTTGCTCCAATTTTTGCTTTTTTGCAGCTAATTCATTTATACGTTGATATTCCACATAGGAGAGGTAGCCCTCTTTTGGTGGTTCCCAAACGGATTTATTCGTCTTTACGTTCCAATAATAGGTATAACCTTCATCAGATACACCCTCCACCCAAAGTGAGGCATTTGGCACACTTTCTGGTGTTACTTTTTGTACTTTTACTCGTCTGTCGTCATCTTCTTCATCATCGGAGTTACCAGGTAACCTTACTGGATCAACTTGTTTTCCACGAGCACCAGCAGCTGTTGACGTTGAGGCCGTGACAGCGCCAACAGTCGCAGCTTCCAGTACAGTATTGATGTTACGTGCTGTGAAATCTCTACTAGCATGTATATCTTGTGCGAACGAACGCAATGCTGCTTCTTCCATTTTGCGTATCTCAGCATCCATCTTTTGTCGGTCACGCTCAGCCTTTTCGCTGCTACGACTGATTTCTGTAATTCGTTTGGATACATTCATTTTGTGGCGTTTGCCACTTTCGTGAAAGGCGATGCTCTGTAAATTAGAAATTTTTGGAAACATAAATATTTAAAGTTGAGTCCCTGCTAAAAGTAGTAGTACTAACCGCCTTGTTGTCGCTGATCCAACATTTGCAGAAATTGCAATATTTTCGTTCGTTAGACTTCCAGTAATCGGCCCTATAACGAATACAACTTAGAATACATTTTTCCTAAATTATGTGCGTTTGTTCATTTAATTTTACTTACATTATTAATAAATTATCTAAATTGTTTGTAAACAAAACACTAATTTCACAAATTCATAAATGTCAAGTCAGCTGATTGTGTCGGCAAGGCAGTGTTTATCAGATTTGACAGCTTGTAATAGATTTGTAAGCTAGATGGTTCATATCTGAAATAACGTATTACGTTACGTTAATAAATCTGAATCATTCGTAAGTATGTGGCGAAGCATTAAATAGTCCGTAGCAATTGAAAGAGACTCATCACCCCAATGATACTTCACTCAAGAACTCGTGTATCAGTTGCTATAATGTTTCAACAGATATTCGCAGAGCATATGGTAATGCTTCTTATCAGGGAGCCCTGTGTACACATATTGGGCGCCATTAGGTCATTAGAGGTCAGAGACAGGTTGAGGATTTTGGTATAAAGGTCGTTTTCAGCGCAGATATTTACCACCATCCGATGGAGCCAGTTCTACTGATAACCCACAAAATACGCAGACAGTTCTGAGTGAAAGACCGGCTGAAATAGGTCTCTCGCTTTTTCGGGTTGGACAGAGATTCTACACTGACTTAGCTCGTCTACCCATCGGGATTAAGCAAATAGGCATAATAAAATAATCGACGATGGGTTTGGCCCCTTCCCCTCAAGCTCTCAAATAGTGTCAATTTTCCGCTCCACCTGACATAACTTAAAAAATAAACTGTTCCTTTAATTTAATTTTAATCGGCCAACTTTAATGCTAACAAGAACAACAACTTGTCATGTAATTTCCATTTACGTTATTAGACGCCAAAGACCACAAAAAGCTTAACTTATTTTAAGTTTATTTCTTTCTCTGCTGCTTTGCATTAAATCATTTGTTTCCTTCTTTCTTTTTGTTTATTTCAAAAGTTTTTTATTTCTATTTCGCTTTTTTAATGTTAATCACGCTTACGTGCAAGCCCCACTCACACCAGCAGGGTTTGTCAAAGCTTAAAGCACCACAGACACGGTCTCCCTCATGCATTCAAACGTAGAAAAAGTTGTAACGCCGAGTGTTGGCGATAATAATTATGGATGTGAACAGCTCCAATAGGTAAGGGGTGATGCTCGGTCGCATGATGACACAGACCACCCACCACCCACAACACCGTTTTAATCCACACAATGAAAGACAAAAGTACCAATGACATTGGTTGGATGCTACTGAAACGGCTGGTCCGCCCGTTGCATTGTTCATATTGTTGGTTGGCGTGGTGATTATGTGAGTGGAGCTGGTGATAAGCTCAGATTGGGCGATTGGGTGTTTCAGTGTTTGGGTTGGTGTGAAATGGTAATAAGGGCGATGTGCACGTCTGTTCAGAGGATGCTTGTTAGTGAGATTTTTAAATTTAAAATCCCGTAGGTTGTGGACCTTTTTGAGGGTTGAGGAGCAGGATGTCGTTGAGGCATAATGTCGGCACTTTGATGTTTCGTAGCAAGCGCTTTGATGGGCTAGCAATGCCAATTCCTTAAGTACCAGCTGTTGCAATGTAATTATTTTAGCTTTTCAAAAGGGTTCGTAGTTTTCCGTTGTTGAAGGGAGGTAATGGGCAGCATCAATATGTTAATTACGAGTGCGTGCTGTATGTAATTAATGTAAGACAAAATGGCGGATGAAAATAGTTGGATTCGGACTAACCTATTGTGGAGTTCCTTTATAGATATTGCTGCTCAGGAGATAGAAGAGCCACTGTTATTTTATTAGAAATAAGTACTTCCAGCAACTGTGATTTGTGGGGTGATCTCAGGTAGATGGTTCTGACGGTACGTTCCGCTCGGTATGTTCTAAGATTTTTGGTGTTACCCAGCTACTAAAGGAAGACATTTTTAGGACAAGGCCTTTTGTAGGAGGTTTGTAACTACGACAGTTGAGCTTTTTATTTTCGTCATCATCTGATTTAACTTCCCTTTCCAAATCCCCAGGATTTCATGTCTCTTCAGCTGCTGGCATTCCAGTATTCTTGGTTATTCAAATGAAATTAAATTTTGATGAAACGAAACGAAATAAAATGGAACGAAATGAGACGAAACGAAAAAAATGGAACGAAATGAGACGAAACGAAATAAAATGGAACGAAATGAGACGAAACGAAAGGAACTGGAACAAAATGAGCCGAAATGAAATGAATTAAAAATTAAATCTATTGATTTCGGTGCCAAATTCCTTCGCAAAAATTATTTGTACAATCTTCTGCCTCACTGTAAATATATCCTTTTAGAAGAAATTGCATTCACAATAAGTTTGTATGTTTGTTACGGCGATATCAGCACTCAAATGGGCAACCCTCTCAGCCATTGAGTATGTACACAGTGTGTTCTGATTGTTTAAAGATCAATTTGTAACTTAATTGAAATCCTTTTAAAAGTAATGAGATCCTCCTGCTACTCCGGCACACAAAACCCCGTTTCAGATGCCTTCATAGCATTTGCATTAGTTAAAGTAAGTAACCCTACAAGAAAAAAGTATTACTACTAAGCCATTTGCACACACATACATATACGCATACATATCTTAATCTGTCGCTAGGCTAATATGTCAGTTATGATCCTTTTAGGCTCGACACGCTCATTTGCTGTGGTTAAGAGTTGGACGAATAAAACTTTTACCATTTTGGCTTAGAAGACCAACGAGGACTGACTGTGGTATTTGCATGCTTCGAGTACATACAAACATTCATAGGTCATTGATGCTCGCCGCAGGATATCTAGTAAGTACGCTAGTATGCACATATATATGCATTTATGCACATACATACATATGTCATTTCATGGCTACACATTTCTTTAGTCTTAGTATTTGGAGCGAGCTCAGTTTTGGATAAGGCGTTTTATGTGCTCACAGCATGACGTATTTGTTTTGAGATCAATTTATTAACTAATTGAAATCCTACTTTATAATAATGGTAAACGCCCACATTTCCACACAAGTGGTAAGATCGATCTACGATGATGTATTTGCTCATCTGAAATAGAAAGATCTACCACGCTAATACTTGGCTTACAACAGAAAATAGAACCCTGAGACTAGAAAATAGTTTGTCTCAAGTATCCGGCAGCTGCCGCACGGTTTTATGCAAGTCTTTGGGGTTTATTAATATAGATTCGGACATATCTAACGTATGTACATACTTACTATTTTTCCTTTGTTTCGCAGATGAAAGCGTTTCCGTAGTTATAAATATGAACTGATACATACGCACATTCGGGAAACGGGTATGTACAAATATACATATTTATTTACAAGTGAAGGTTTTCGAGTTTTGCTAAGTTGAATTGCAAAAGTCTCGCATCTCTCATCTCGCATCGTATTGCGGCAAATCCTCACTTACGGCTATTTGACGCAAAATAAAGTAGACAATAACAAAAGGATATACGGCCAACTACTTTGTCTTCGCGAAACTCTCCACACAACCACCTACAATCGCACTTTCTTAAAATCATAACATGTGTGGCTCACATATGTACGTATTTACATACTTATATATATGTGTGAGCTGTTCGTCTTAAAGAAATGACGAAGCCAAAAGAATAGGGCATCCAAGCGTGAAAGCGGCTACTTGTTGACTAACGGTGATATTAACCTTGAGTACTTTTACTCGTTGACGCGTGAACCAGATGATCCTGATGCCGTCATCTGAAGCTGCAAAACTTAAAAATCCTGCGATATGATTAATTTTTTCAATTTATATCATAGCTAAAGTCGGTCACGAGAAGATGAAATCCTCGAAATTATTACGAAACGCATAAGAGCTGAGCGAAACGTAGTAGAGCCTTAGGTCAACTGCAGATAAATTAAATTTTCATATTTATTGCATAGTTACTCAGCTGCGCGATACGTTCATGCAATTTCGCTAAATTATTATTGGCTTAATTTTTTTATTTTTCATTGAACTTAATTCACATACTAAATATATACTTTACTAAAACTTTTTTATTTTATTTTAACTTATGTTATATTATTTTATTTCTTTTAATCTGTTTGATTTTATTTCACTTAATATTTCTAATTTAATTTAATTTTATTTAATTTAATTTCTTAATTTAATTCTATTCACTTTTATTCAATATTATTTTATTTTATTTTACTTTATAAAATTATTGGATGAGTGCATAAGTTCGTGCCCGATTTCAAGTGCAAACTAAAATTGAAATTTTTTGAATATGTTCGGCAATCCACTCCCAACGTTCAACCAATTTACGGATGCCGCGCGTTTTCTCGTTGAAAAAGGTGTCAAGGTAGTTTTTGACGTCTTCCGCATTTTTAAATTTTTTCCCATTCAAATGGTTCTGCAGCGATCGAAACAAATGATACTCAGAAAGTGCAATGTGGGGTGAATATGGGGGATGCGGCATGATTTCCCAATTCATCTCCTTCAGTTTGGCNTTATTTTATTTTATTTTATTTTATTTTATTTTATTTTATTTTATTTTATTTTATTTTATTTTATTTTATTTTATTTTATTTTATTTTATTTTATTTTATTTTATTTTATTTTATTTTATTTTATTTTATTTTATTTTATTTTATTTTATTTTATTTTATTTTATTTTATTTTATTTTATTTTATTTTATTTTATTTTATTTTATTTTATTTTATTTTATTTTATTTTATTTTATTTTATTTTATTTTATTTTATTTTATTTTATTTTATTTTATTTTATTTTATTTTATTTTATTTTATTTTATTTTATTTTATTTTATTTTATTTTATTTTATTTTATTTTATTTTATTTTATTTTATTTTATTTTATTTTATTTTATTTTATTTTATTTTATTTTATTTTATTTTATTTTATTTTATTTTATTTTATTTTATTTTATTTTATTTTATTTTATTTTATTTTATTTTATTTTATTTTATTTTATTTTATTTTATTTTATTTTATTTTATTTTATTTTATTTTATTTTATTTTATTTTATTTTATTTTATTTTATTTTATTTTATTTTATTTTATTTTATTTTATTTTATTTTATTTTATTTTATTTTATTTTATTTTATTTTATTTTATTTTATTTTATTTTATTTTATTTTATTTTATTTTATTTTATTTTATTTTATTTTATTTTATTTTAT